ATTTTTCCTTTTATTTTTGTAAATGTGTCCTGTTACAAATTTTAATTGTATATTTATTTATTGTTTTAATATGTTGTGAGCCACCCAGAGTCCTTGGGGGGGGGTGGGTGGGGACAAGTTTAATAAATAAAAAACAAACAAACAAACTATGAGCAGCACAGGGAAATGAGGACAACATTTCTTGCCACTGGAGCTTTCAATCTTCAGAATCCATCAGTCGGTTTATAGCAGGGTTGGGCAAACCCAAAGCCCACAACCTGGTTGCAGTTCTCAATGCCCAAAGGAGAAGAAGAAGAGGAAGAAAAATGAGTAGTAATGGCCTGCAGTTCTATGAGAACCTTTGCTGTTCCTCTCGATCCATGCTACTAATGGTACTGAGAAACTAGCAATCTAGAAAACTGGGAGGGAAGCAGATATCCTTGGTTCCCCTCCTACTGTATTCTGTTCTCATGGAGAAAAGCATGCCTTGGACTACCAGGGTTGAGCACATACAGTGTTGGGTAGAGGGTGATAATGGGAGAGGGTGATGGGCAGAGCATAGAGAGGGCAGGGAGAAAGGCATTTGGCAGGCGGCTTTCGACATGAAAGCTGGGGCAGAGAGTAGTTGACCTGCAGGGACCCCCTGGAAATTTCCTTCCATGCTCCCTTTCCTGGGTCCATGATGCTAGGAACAGAGTGCTGCAAGGAAGCTGCTGTCTTGCAGAGGGTGTAATATGCATTAACATCCCATACATATTTCTCTCTCCCTGCTTGAGCACTGAAAGACTGCTGCTTGAATCAAGAAGCTTAATCTACCTTTATCTGACTTGCTATGGTTTCCCCAACAGCCTCTAGTTTTGCACAGCACCAGCTTCCAAAGCTCGAATTTCGGGAATGGGAATTGTGCCCCTCCATGTGGCACTCCCTACAGCAATCTAGTTCTGCATGCCCAAGCCATTGTTCTAGGAAGAATCCTAGAAAAGGCAGATGTCATTTAATGTCATCCCAAACAACGCCAAAACAATTGGGTGTAGCCTACATCAAGCTCTGAAAGCTGTTACCAAATTTTTATTTTAATTGTATGCATAAAAATGGATTTTTTTTAAATTAATTAACCACTAAAGTATTAAATGTTGGAGAATAATGGTGCCAATTTTAATTTAAAGCTAACATATAAATTACACTTGCCTTGACTCCACCCACTACTTTTTCCAAGAGTGGCTTCCAGGCAGAAAAAGTTGCTTTACAGGGTAATAATAAAGTTTACTGAGCATCTGAAAAAGCCAACGTAATGCAACGTTTGTGATACATCAATCTATCTCCAAAACCCAGAGCTAACCACACCTTGGCCCCAGAATTCATCTGGAGGTTTTCAAACACAGGCAGGAAAGTCTTATTTTCATCTTCAATATTAAAGTAAGCTCTTAATTACAACAACAACAATTTCTTAAACTTGTATGCCGCCCAGCTCTCAACAACTCTGGGCAGCTCACAACAATCAAGCAAAGAAATTACAATAAAATCAGTAAAACGTAAAGTGTAAAAGATGACAAGCGTGATGAAGCGAGGGGTTTCACTCTCCCTCGCTGAAGGCCTGAGTGAAGAGCCAGGTGTTCACAGCTCTTAATATGTAGCAATTAATACTGAGAAATTGCAGAACTATATGTTTGCTCTGTGTACCAAAGCAAGCAGACCTGTGGTGTCTGTATCTTGCTGATCTCTGTTGGCACAGAGAAGCAGCTGATGTCAGTGCTAACGGCAGGCAGACTTCTGAGAGAGGTGATCCCCTTCCCCCAATGTAGTACAATGCAACATTGCTGGTTCTCTTTCCTCCTCAGGCCCACAAGCACCAATCCTGGCCAAACCAGGCAAGCAAGCAGCAATTCAAACAAGCAGCATGGGTGGTCCCTCACACCGAACTTGGAGCTCCATTTAGAATGGCCCCAACGTCTTGCTTTGCCCCATTGCTCAGGGCTGCAAGCATCAACTCCTCTATTCTCTTAGATCCTCTCCTTCAGCCACTGTATACAGAGGACTGAACTCACAAATATTAACCAGTCCTAACCAAGTCACCATCTATGGAGACTGGAAGTACTGACTACAGGTAGTCCTCACTTACCGATCACTCGTTCAGCAACCATTCAGAGTTACGACAGCACTGAAAAAGGAGACTTATGACCAGTCCTTGAAGTTGTAGCCGTCACAGCATCCTTGAGGTGACTTGATCGTGATTCGGGTGCTTGACAACCAGTACACAACAGTCACAGCATCCCATGGTCATGCAATCTCCATTTATGACCTTCGCTGCTGGCTTCTCACAAGCAAAGTCAATAGGGAAGTTGGCAGGAAGTCACAAGACATGGTCACATGACATTGCGTTTAATGACTCACAGTGATTTGCTTAATGAAGCAGCCAGAACTGACAAACTGACATTTAAGTCAGGTGTGATCACGAGACTTTTCACTTTACAACCACGCTACTTAGCGATGGAGTTGCTGGAGCCAATCATGGTTGGTAAGTAAGAACTACCTGTATTCTTGCAAACTTCTCTGTTGGGTGGCAACCACTTAAGTGAGGAAACAATGACAAGGCAGACAGGAGGCAACTGCTCTTTGACCCACCTTCAATGATCAGCTAAATTTGTTCAGGGGAAACCAGAAAGGCTTAAGATCTTTAGTAACCAGTTTTTGACCTTGGAGCAAAAACTGCACCCACTTCAGTGACCTCCACCAAGGACACAGGCCACACCTCCTTGAAAAGCAGCAACAGGCTTGGAAGACCAAGAGTGTAACATATGCTAGAAAGTAGAGGGAGAGCCAGTTTGGTGTAGTGGTGAAGGCATCAGGCTAGCAACCTGGAGACCATGAGGTGTAGTCTTGCCTTAAGCATGAAGCCAGCTGGGTGACCTTGGGCCAGTCCCTCTCAGCCCTAAGAAGAAGGCAATGGCAAACCACTTCTGAAATCTTGCCAAGAAAACTGCAGGGACTAGTCCAGCCACTAGTCAGGAGTCAACACAAACTTGAAGGCATGTGCATGCGCGCATGCAGAGAGGATGGGGGGGGGGGGGGAGGGGGGGGGGGGGGGGGGGGAAGAGGGAGGGAGGGAGAGAGAGAGAGGGGTGATCACTGAAATTGTTGAGGTTTGCACCTGGGCAAGTAACAGTAAGGATTCCCTGAAATCCAGGCTGCACTGGAATTTGTGGAGTGGACCACAGTGCTTCTCTGGCAAACATTTACTCCAAAAGCTTTTCCAAAGTGACCCATCGGCTTTCGCCCTTTCGATTTTTTCTAGGAAAGGACTGGCGTGTTGGTTAAGGAGAAGGCTGAGTGGTTCCCTTGAATCTTTAGCCCTGGCCAAAAAAATATCTGGAAGAACTCAAGGGGCCTTCGTCTTGGACAGACAGGTCCACGTGTTGAGTTCCTGAGAACTATTAGCTGAGAAGCCCAAGAAATACCAAATACCCCCGACCTAACCCCGAGCAGCCCCCGAAGTTGACGGGCGCTGGGAGGCAGCCCAGGACAGGACGGGTCGGGCTGCCCCACTTCCCCCCAGGAGGACGCAGACGCCTGGCTGAGAAGCCGGAGCCTCGCCGCGGGGGCCGGGCGCACTCACCGGGCTGCGCCTCCTGAGCAGGGTGGCTCTGAGCAAAGTCAAACCTCGGATCGCGGTGCCAGCCTGGCTCGCCATGGGAGACGCCATCTTCAGCCGCGCGCGTGCTCCGGGGAGGAGCTTCCGCCCGAGCAGGGGCGGCTCCGGCGCTGGATCTGGCCCGCGGCCGAGCCGAGAAGGGCGCAAAGCGGTCGGGCTGCGGGAGGTGGCAGCGCTCGAGGAGGCGTCCTCTTGCGCACGACGATCTTCCGCGGAGGCAGGGATAGGGGCGCCCTGGAGGGCAGTTGCAGGGAGGGGAAAGAAGTTGGCCGAAGCTCCTAACTCCGGATGCGGAAGCGTAGTCAAGGGAAAGCGCGCATCTGAACTTACCTGCACACACGCTAAAGCGCCCTTTCCCTTTCTCTCTTGCTCGTTCACTTTAGGATCCCCAGCCGTGTCGCGCCTAAATTCCTTTTAAGTTCTACCAGAGGCCCATTTGATCTAGAATCGGGCAGAAATGAGGCGGAGGTTGCTCCACAGAGACATCCCGGGGCTGGGATCGGCAGTGGACGTGCGCTTCACGTTTTTTCTTCCAGAGGTTTCGATCCGAATGTGATGGTGTGAAGCTAGCGGAATGCCCGCTGTGGGACTCATGCGACCCCGTTCCTGGCACCTTTTCGCTCTGTCCCTTTCCCCTCTTTTCTTGGAGAAAGAAAGCCCTGCTAAGAAGGAAGCGAATTTGGGAGGGGATGGATTGAGGAAAGCGCGTTTGGGGATGGAATAATTACTCCGATTGCCAATATAGGGCCTCAGCGCCTATCACGTATTTGTAATTCTGTAGCACTGTGTATAGGCTGAAGTTAGTTACTCTATGCATGGATTTTGAATAGGTAACTGTAGAACACCATTAGAGCATTTATATCAGACTTCTTCAAATTTATCAAGCACACACACCAGCACCTTTTAATTCCCCCTACTGTTTACACAGAGTTTGGAAAGGTGCTCTGATCCTATCATGTTATCATGATCCTATCATGTCATATTATGTTATACTAACCCACATTCCATCATATACTAGCCCACACCCAAAGGCAAATGGTCAACTTGTTTCAGGCCTAGTTATTGGGCAAAAAAAAAACCAGGGTGGTCTTCATAAAGATTGTAATCCACTGGAAAAGTAGGGTTAACCTTTGTCTTCCCCATCCCAAAAATGTCCATGAAGGATTGTCGTTCCATTACAGTTGGTTTTGAAAAATTGCTTCCATTGACACCAATGGAGGAGCTGTTTATTTTTTTAAACAAGCTCAGTTGTTCTGCGAGTTGCCATTGAAGAAAGGCTGAAGTGGGAAGATGATGAAGCCTGCAGGTTGAATACACAAGCATCCTAACTCCCTTTTATCACTTTGGGGGGAGGGGGTGTCTTTTCAATAATGCTGTAGACGGATACGGTGATTCTGAGATGTGGAGCTGTCAATGGGTTCTTTATCATTTGGGTTGCCCTGCCCAACCAGGACAGCTCAGGGTGGTGCAATAGTTACTACCTTCAACTAGAATCTGGTGCCATCATCGTTATTTGTTCTCATTAAGCGTTATTTGTTAAGAGAGAAATGCAAGTATATTTTCAGTTACAGCTATGAATATTACAAAGTAGTTTTTCCCACCATTCGTTTTGACTGGCACGAGACCACAAATGTCTGACCAAAAAAAATTCCACTGGCTGGCTGACGGGTAATAACAGATTCAAAGGAGATCAAACAAAGATTGAAGGAGCATACTGAAATATTCTACAGTAGAGATGTCAACATCCAATATACCTTTATAAGATCTTCTCTACTAACAAGAAACTCTAGTACTAAAATATGAAGTTAGATCAGCAAGCTAGTCATTACCAAATCAGTCAGAAACTGATGGAATACTCATTGAAATAAGGCAATCAACAGAAGAAGAATTAGAAAAGGCTGTCAGCAAATCTGGAGAATGACACAGTGGCTAAGATTAGAAGAGGTCAATCTACATTCCAATACCAAAAAAAAGGAGATTTAACAGAATGTGCAAACTATTGTACAATATCCTTAATTTCACATGCTAGCAAAATACTGCCTAGGATCACCCAATGCAGATTAGAGCCCTACATGGAAAAAGAGATGTGAGATGTTCAAGCTGGCATTAGAAAAGGCTGAAGAACATGTGACATTATTGCTGATGTACACTGGATAATTGAGAAAGCCAATGAATACCAAAAAGAAGTCAGAATGTGCTTCATCGATTATAGAAAGGCCTTTGTGTCAATCATGTCAGGCTGTGGAGTATGCTCAGAAAAATGGGAATCCCAGAACATCTCATTGTTCTCATGAGAAACCTATATACTGGTCAGAAAGCCACAGTATGGACAGAACGTAGTGAAACAGCCTGGCTCCAGGCTGGCAAAGGAGTGAGGCGAGGATCTATACTCTCCCCTTATTTATTCAACCTATATGCTGAACATATATTAAGGGAAGCTGGCCTGGAAGAAGATGTGGTTTTAAAATTGGAGGAAGAAACATCAATTACCTATGCTATTCTGATGACACTACCCTGGTAGCTGAAAATGCAAAGGATCTGCAAGGTCTAGTAATAAAAGTCAAGGAGCATAGTGAAAAAATGGAACTAAAATTAAATATAAAGAAGACCAAACTAATGTCTGCAGACAGGACAACCAACCTTAGAACTGATAATGAAGATATCAAGGTGGAAGATAGCTTCTGCCTTTTAGAATCAACCATCAACTGTAAAGAAACAAGCAGTCAAGAAATACAGTGCAGACCAGCACTTGGTAGAACATCCATGAAGGCCTTGGAAAAGATATTCAGATGCCATGATGTGCTTATACCTACAGAGTTCAGAAGTGTGTAAACTATGGTATTCCCTGTGACACTCTATGAAAGCAAAAGTTGGATTTTGAAGGAGCAGGATAGGAAGTGTATTGATGCTTTTGAACTTTGGTGTTGGAGAAGACTCCTGAGAATACCATGGACAGCCCAGAAAACAAACAAATGGATTGTTGAACAAATCAGAGTTCTCACTCAAGGCACAAATGTCCAAGCTCAAATAATCCTACTTTGCACTGACTATGTGAAGCCCTAACTCTCTGGAGAAGGCTCTAATGCTGGGAAAGGTGGAAGGAAAGAAAAGAAGAGGACGACCAACAGCAAGTTGGATGGACTCAGTTACAGTGGTGATGGGTGCGCCATTGGAAGACCTGAGAGACCAGGTTAAGGACAGACTGTCATGGAGAAAATCTATCTGCGTGGTCGCTAAGAGTTGATAACAACTTGATGGAATATAATCAATCAATCAATCTCTCTTGTATGGGCTTTTGCTCTGTAGAGTCTGCATTCTCTTTTAATAGGTTAATTTTTATTATAGTATAACAGATTACATGCATGATTCAAATCATATTGCTGTGCCTGCAATTTAGCAATTACATTCTCAAGGGAGATTTCTTCATGAAATTTGATTATTATATAGTTTTCTAGTACTGATCTTAATAATAGTTCCTTGAAATGTTCACACTGTTTTGTTTTAAATATCTTCATAGGATGTAGCAAGATAACAATGACACAGCATATTGAAAGAGGTCATAAATAACCTAGAGCATTAATTCTGCCATGTTCAGGGATGGGAGGTGGCTCTGATCACAAGAAATCCATGACCAGGGACATTGGTATGGAGCTACTTGGATGAGTGCCCATAGGTGATGTTGGGCTGTTGAGACAAGCTAGGTGTCCTGCTTGTATGCTGACCACCCTGTTGCCCAGCAAGATCCTTTCCTGGGCTTCTTGAACTGTTCTAGGAGTTAGTAGTAGAACATCCTTGGTGTTGGGTGGCTTCAAATTTCTGGCCTCCAGAACTGGCTCAGGTAAAGCTCAGGAGTTCATGTCCTCCATGGTGACCGTAGGCATATTTCAGGTCATCTCACCTCAGGAGGCCATTCTTTGAATCTTGTTTTTGTCTCCAAACAGTTGTTGAGTGATCTGGAGATAGAATTTTTATCATCCTGTTGCCATGGTCAGATCACTCCTGGGTCCAATTGTGATTGGTAGTCTCCTGGGACCTCAGGGGGTGGTGACACTGATTCGAATGCCCCAGGCACCTAATTGATCCAACTGGTTTTCAAAGGATGGTTGGGGAATTTCCCAAATGGGCATATGGGCAGTTCTGTTCAGTGCTGGGTAAGTAGCTGGTATCAGGTGGTGAACTGGACATTGGATGTTATTACCCCTGAGCAGCCTCTTTCTGGTGGCTGATCCTGGATAGTACCTTGGTTTATTGAGGCCCTCTGAGAGATGAAGCAGAAGAAGCAATGTCATGTTTTGGCCTACACTATGGCAATAAGGAAGGGGAAATGTTCCTCATTCTCCTCCCTTATTGCATCAAAGGGCTGTCATTCAGTGAGTTTGTATAGAGTGGTGAACTCCCTTTTGGAGAGGGCACGGAGTTGTGATCCTCCATTGGGCTGCTGTTACCAGTTTGCATGGCATTGCAGTCTTGACACCATGTGGATAGAGCTTTTGGTAGTGATTGGAGTATCACTTTATCCTGTTATCTGGAACTCCTTTTGGTCTGTGACCTCTGAGGAAGTGGATAGAGTGCTGTCTCTGTTGCCCTCTGCTACCTGCCATTTTAAAGTGGGTGAGGTGGCAACCACTTGGACCTGGAAAATTGTCAAAGCCTTGTTATGGGCGGGGGAATTGCTGCCAGAAAAGACAGTATGGTCCAAAATGCAGCAGCCCACATATTTTCTGGCTCCCAGCATTGGGAGCATATAACACAAGTTTTGCATATCCTGCATTGGTTGTTGATTGGTTTCTTGGGTACAGTTTAAGATGCTAGTTTTGACCAATGAGCCTTCATGGCTTGGTGCTCAGATACCTATAGGGCCACCTACTCAACTAATACCAGCCTAATCAGTTTGATCAACCAGGGAGAAACTGCTACAAATCCCACATTTTCAGGCTGTTTGAGGGGCTGAGGCCAGAAGACATTGCTTTTCTGCAGCAATGCCAATGCTATGGAAGAACTCCCAGTAGAGATCAGGCTAGTCCCCTCTTTGCTGATATTTTGACAACTTTGGAAGATGGAGTTGTTTGGAAGATCTTTCTCCTTGTTTGATTATGCCATCTGTAATTTTTATTTTTATTGCCTTTATTGTTGGTTTGTATG